TCCAATTCCTTCAAGTTCTTTGTTCCTACTACTCTAGTGGCGGAAATCTAACTGTTACGCTCAGTGGGCTCTGACTCGGATGGCTAGATTTTGCCACGCCCACTCGGTGCCCACTGGGCGAGTATATAAACGCTCAACTTGTAGATTGTACTTTAGTTTATAATGCTGATGATGCTAACATGGTTAGCGAAACGCGCGTCCAGTGTAAAAGTAAAAGTGTTTTGGTGTATTGTCGTGATTTAGTGTTTTTATTTTGCAATATCGATAGTTGTTATTTCGATAAATGCTGAACAAATTAGGCAAAAAAGTCCTACTAACTGCTCGGCGATTTCCATCTTACCCTCCCTCGTCCATTTATTTTTGCTCACTTATTGATTGTAGTATAGTCTTAGTCTTTTTTTCACTCAAATTGTGGCATAAGTTTGCGCGAATCTATTTTTGTCTTTATAAAACTGTTTTTCTTTTGTATGCCTACATCTGATAAAGATGCTTCGGTTACAAGTTTTACGCATCTCTCTACTGATTGAGTGTGACAGGGAAATGCAGCGATGTCGATGATTGTTTCAGAAGAACCAAAAATCATATTTTTCAAATCACCTACTTCGAGAGTTTGGAGCAATGGGGGACAAGTTATTTCATTTTTTTGCCAATCAATTAGATCAACATAGTGGTCTGCATCAAAATTAGTTTGTGGGATGATAAAAGGTCGGATATTGCGTGAACGATTGTCTTGAGTTTTTGCATTTAGAATGCGGCGAAGTGCAAGCTCTCTTATATGGGGGCGAGTGTCATGGAGCATACACATCAGATTTTCGGGATGGACAAAATAGGCATTTCTTGGTATGACAGGGTCTATAACACTTTTTAAATCTTGCTCTAGGTATCGGCTACGTTTTATTGTTGGTAAAACATGTTTGGCACCATTTACAAAGGAGCATAAACCTTGACAATAAATTTGGACAGTTCCTATAAGTAGTATAGCTAGCGGGATACTGGATCAATTTTTGCTCGATGGTATGTTTTCCATCAGCATCGATCCCTGAGCCGAAGAAGTATTGACCTTGATTAATTTGAAGGTTATTTCTAAAGAAATAATGTTTGTGTGGGTAGTTCTTGTAAATTTACCGGATGCTGTTGAAAAAAAAAACCCTACTATATAGGGTGGTAGGAACTGTAATCCGGAAACTTCGGCAGCCTATTCTACAGATACGTATTTTTATCTGACTTATTTAATATGTTTTAAAATGCTAAGTAAACAGTACAGGGTGTAGAAGTTTCATATTTATTTCGACTTTTTCTAAATAATTTCTGATGCAACACCAATATTTGGATGAAAATTGGTATCTGGGAGTTTTTTGACATGATGAATTTGATATTGATGTCAATATGACTCCTACATGGAGAGGGCGCCACCTACATATGTTTAAACTACTTTGAAGTGTAATAACTTTTCGTCCATACCTGTTTAAAATTACCGAATAAACATGTTGAGTAGATATATAGTTATTTGACTAAAATAATAAATTTGGGAACTTCCTATTCTTTTAAATTAATCATAATTTTTTCTTCGAAAAAGATGATAAAACAGTTTCTGTTGAAATTTTGGTACAAAAACATTTCAAATTTATAATTTCAGTCTAATAACTACCGTGTGATCGAAAAAAACGGCATCAGCGATGGCTATGAAATGAAAATTGCTGTCATTTATGTTTGGAAGCTATATATAAATGTTCTGTTTGTGTGTAGTTTAAAAGAGATTTTAAGGTAAGCACAAGTTTTTAATTACCTTCTTACACCTTCCTAAGAGTATTATTAATATTATAGCAGCGACTCTTCCCTTACTCGATACCCAATTTACCAAATTTTGACTCCAATGAATGAAAACTTCAAATACTCTCGTATAATGATAAAGAGGTTAACTCTGCAATATAATTTTTTTTAATTTGGAAATAATAAAAATCTAAATGGACCAGAGAAAGAAAGATTTAAACACTTCAAAGAACTTCTTACACCGATATTCGGTAAGTTATTGATGGATCAATATACAGGTATGTTTAATATTCAATAATCAGTTTCATATAAAATTTAAGGGTGAGATTGTCAATCTGAGATTGTTAATCTCGATGAATGAGTATGCTAACAAACCAACTGCTTGGAGAGAAAAGAAGAGAAAAAAATGACTAAAGGAGGTCCACCAAATCGTGGCGATGTACCAGTGTTTACCATTTTAGTATGTTGTTATACTAGGTACTTATATTTATAATACATTTTGATACAAATTTTGTTCTTTTACAGTGTTTTCTTACTTCTGGTTTCTGCAGTGTAAATAATTATTATTATTGTGTTATTTGCGCTATTGCGTTCCATGATATAAAGAAATATAAGAATTTTATTTTTAACCACTTAATCCATTTTATGGAAAAAAAATGGTATATTTAATACAAAACAGAAATGGAACAATTTTAAGGCTACTTCTCTTGAACTTACGATCGAGATACTTTTGGAAAATACAAAGTTTTGCCTTCCTAATTTTCGTTCTAAAAAGATATAATTGGTATCATTGAATAAATATTTCTTAAAAAGAACGAAAAGTTAGGCATCAAAAAAAAACAAAAAAACTCCCAGACCCAAATTTTCATCCAAATATTGACGTCACTTCATAAATTATTTGGAAAAAATCGAAATAAAAATGAAATTTCTACACCCTGTATCACCCAAAACTAAGCATTTTAGGATATACATTTATACGAACTTTTTCACTTATTTTTATCTACAGAATATGCTGTCGAAGTTTCTCGAATACAGTTCGGACCACCCTGTATAACCCAATTTTTTATCATATCAAAGGTGTTTTTCTATGAAATTTTGTGATGTTTTTTTTATTTGATCGTTTTGGATCGAATACAAGCATTATCGATATTAATATGAGTATCGTACATCTCTAAAGTGTGGCATTAAGAGAAAAAGAGAGAGAGATGGGGAGTTTTTATTACCATTGGTGGTTCAGCTAGTGGAAGGCCACGGGGAAATAAAAATGTAATATAAATGCAAATATTCTGATCGTTAGTTGACGTCTCTATCTATTTTTACGACTTTGATAAGAATTTCAATGGCGTGCGGTTATGTAATCTTAACATACACATGTAATATAGAAAGCTACCCAAAAGCAAAACAATAACTTTTAACCCTGAGATTTACATTTCTATATTAATTTTCAAAGATAATTATTGATTCTTCTCTTCCAAAAAATTACAGAGAAAAAAAAGCAGTAATACCAACCATAGGCAGAATATACTCACGGGTACTTAAAAACAAAATTGAAGAGGAGATCATCGAGAAACAGCCAGAAGAACAGGCGGGTTTTCGAACTGGTCCACAGTGCTTCGTCCCATGGACAAAAATCAAAAAATAAGTTAAAATTTACTAATATCTGAATATATAATTTTATGCTTATAGCAATGTTCAACCATCCTGTATATTATTTTTCATAAACAGCGTTTTTGTTAGCAAATATTTTCACTAAAAATAAATTTTGCGATCATTATCTCATCAGTGAAAAGAATAACATTCATAGTAGTTCTGTATATTATGGAGTTAAACGGGTACGTACTTAATTGAAAGCCACTATGGATATTGTTAAACAAGGTATGTACTTTAAATTTATGTCTAAACAAGTTCGTGATTGTTTAGTTTTTATTTATTTTTAAGCTGATTCTTAAATGGGTATAAAAATTTTACGTTTTCAAACTTCAAAAAGGCATTTAAAAAAAACATATCAAAACATATCGTATTTATTGAATATTTTTGTTGCCATATTCATACACTTTTAATTTTTGTATAGTTCACCTGCGTCTGCTTGCGACGAACTTTATTTTATAATACTTTTCAGATGGAGTAAAATTGATAAGCAATGCCGATCTGGCTAATACTTGGCTTGATCATAAGAACAAGAACTCAAAATTATTTGTATTTCAAAAAATATGTTCTTATTAGATATTGATGAACCTTCCAGTCAAATGAGACACCACTTGTGCCTAAAAAAGTCCACTATGTTGGAGCGAAACGTCGCATAAAAAAAGTGTCCATCTTTCAATTTATTATAAAATCTCATACCCAAGAAAAGGAAAAAATAATATATGGATATGGTCTATTAAAGAGGTAACTATTAACATCAGAACCCCTCATACCGACAAAATGAACAGTAACAACGCGAAAAAGTAACATATTAGAAAATGATGTACAGAAATATCTTATATGTGAGGATACTTCAACTACCTGTGATTTGGATACTATAAATTTGGAAGATTCTGTCAGCAGTGATTCTCCTGAATCAGAGTAGTTACGATCTATGCATTTTGTTGTCCTAAAGTAAATTTATAGTACCTCTCTTAATTTTTTTTTTAATTAAATATAACATTAATGTTTCTTTTTCATTAAAGAAAAACATTTTTATCTTATATTAGGCTTATATTGTAGGAATCATGTTCTAATGTTATTTCAATTCTTTTTTATCACAGGAATTTATTTAATACTTACACCGTTTTCATACTATAACTTATTATTTGCTTAGATGGAACACAGCTCCAACATTATTATTATTTACAAGATTTTTTTTTCATAAACGTTGCACTAAGAACATCATCATTTAGTACAATGAGAGTACTCATCATTTGTGTCAAATAAACCTAGTTTGAATAAATTGCTTACAATAAAAGAGAAGTTTTGGATTTTTGTCCTCTAGAGCCATATGTTCGAAGCACTGTGTGGTCGATCGACTGTGGATAATGCTTTTTTACCCTCAAAATCGCTTTGGAGAAAAAAGTACAGCGTAGCAGTTGTTAGCCCATGTTACTTTCATAGGTTTGGAAAAAACTTGGAGGGAGATGAAGAACTTCAATTTAAGATCTACTGTAAATCTATTATAAAAATAACTCTGCAAGAATTAAGATAGGAAATGAGGTTACCAACTCTATTAATACAACAAAAAGATTTAGAAAAGGATGCTGCTTATCTCCTACAGTATTCAACAAAGCTCTGGTGAATTGGCTGAGAAAATGCAAAAATATGGGCGAGGGAGAGTGAGGGATGACACATTATTTACATTGTTTTTTCTGGATGATCAGATAGTTATTTCTGAAGACGAAAAAGATCTCAGTTACATGATCAGAAAACTCCAAGAAGAATACGAGGCGAATCTCTCGAAATGTGAATACCTTATAGTAGTCAATGAAGAGATAAAATACCTAACCTTAGACACTAACACAAGAGGAATAAAACCTAGTAAATACCTTGGAATAATATTTAATAAAACAAACAGCGGAAATGAAATGCAAGAAAGAGTAAATAAAGGTAGAACAGTAGCCAGAACATTGACCTCTCTTCCCTGGAATAAACAAATTAAAAGATCCACAAAAAAGCGCATTTACAGTAGCATAGTACAAAGTGTAACTCTCTACGGTTCCGAAATATGGGATGTTACAAAAGCCAATAAAAATAAACTTATGACAACTGAAATGGATTTTCAAGAAGAAGCTGCAGACGATCAAAACTAGAAAGAATAAGAAACGACCACATCCGAATGCAGATGCAAATGTATAGACACATACACAAAAACATAGAAAAAAGACAGAATTAAATAAACGTTGACAGATGTCCCAGAAAGATATTAGATTGGACGCCTTTGGAAAGAAGAAAGACAGGACGGCCCAGAAGGAGTTGGCGGGATGACATCAATCAGGCGATGATATCAATCAGGCGATGACAGCGAGAAACTTAAATGAAGACGAGGTTTTTGATGGGAAAGGATGAAAATTGGGGACGGAGAGAAGGCAATAGCTGTAGAAATTCGTTGACGATACATGAAAGAAGTAAATCCGACCCTTAACAGGTAATGCCCAGTCAGTATTGGATACAGAATGCCTCAATATTCCGTGGACATATTATACAGGGTGAGTTTCCTACGATGTTCTCTATGGGTATCTCGGAAACTACTGGAGATAGAAAGTCGGTTAAATAGGGAAAGAATTGCAGTTTTGTTGGGTCATAAACATGCGCCTTTCAGATCTTTGAAAAAGTTCATGGGTTACTAGATATTTCGAAAAAAACAAATTTTGGCTATTTCAAAAATTGTCCCTAATTCCATTATAATCTATTTTAGACAAAAAGGTTTCAGATAAAAGTTGTAGATAATAACATCCTTAATGAGACTGTCTTTTCCGTTTTTTTTCTAAAGCCTGTCATTTTTGACATATGACACAAACATATGTTTTTTTAAATGGAAACCATAGTTGGCCATGACTTCATAAAAAGCGCCATTTTTTAAGCTTTTCAGAGATATACGCAATAACATGTTGTCTTTTTTGAATTACTGAGTTATAGCCAATTTTTATATTTTTTGACTAATTTCACTTAAAAAGCAAAATAAAAACACTAAATCACCACAATACACCAAAACACTTTTACTTTTACACTGGACGCGCGTTTCGCTAACCATGTTAGCATCATCAGCAGATGATTATAAACTATCAGTTTATAAACTATCAGTTTATAATCATCTGCTGATGATGCTAACATGGTTAGCGAAACGCGCGTCCAGTGTAAAAGTAAAAGTGTTTTGGTGTATTGTGATTTAGTGTTTTTATTTTGCTGTTTAACACCAAAGGTTCCAACCCTCAACTGTAATTTCACTTAGTTAGCCATGGAAAAAAGTTCAATTGTCGTTGTTATCAGAACTGTCAAATCCAAACAAAAATATTTTATTCAGACACAAAAAAGCTGTAAATATGAATTTTTCAAATGAAGAAAAGCGGGACATGCTTGAATGTTTAATTCTCTGTCATAAAAATGCCAGGCAAGCAGCAGAAGAGTATTTTCGGCGTTACTACGATCGACGCCAGCCCTCATTGCCAACATTTCGGAGAATTTATAATAACTTGGGAGAATTCGGTATGTTCGCGCGTCCAAAAGACAAAAATCTCGAAATAAATGAAGCTGCTCAGATAAATGTACTAGCGTGTGTCGATCAAAATCCCTCAATATCAACCCGCCAAGCTGCAGTTGAAGCAGGAACTTAGAGGATCGTAGTTAAAACTTTAAAATTTCATGGATTCCATCCTTATAAATTATCGGTTGGTCAAATCTTACATGTTGGTGATGACAATAAGCGCAACCAGTTCTGCACGTGATTTAGAAATATGTGTATAGAAGACCCCGACTTTAAATTTAAAGTGCTTTGGACAGTTGAGACAAGGTTTACTAATTGTGGATTATATTTAACAGACATAACGAGCATATCTGGGCCCAAGAAAATCCCCGTAATTTAGAGCAGAGAAGACCACAAATTAAATTTGGTTTTAATGTTTGGTGTGGAATTATTGGATCAACTGTTCTTGGGCCATACATTTTCGAAGATACATTGACAGGTGAACTTTACTTACGTGTTTTAGAGAACGGTTTACAAGACATCTTAGATAATTTAAATTTAGAGACCCGCACATCAATAAAGTGGTTCCAACATGACGGAGCTCCCCCACATAATGAAAGACATGTAAAAAATTATTTAGATAATAATTTTGCGAATTCATGGATAGGAAGAGGTGGACCAATTGCATGGCCTCCTCGGTCACCTGACCTATCCGTTTTAGATTTTTTTTATGGGGTACTGTTAAAAATAAGGTTTACAAGAGGACATATTATGTATCCAGAGAGGCGTTCGAAGAGGCCGTACGGGACGAATTTAATGATATCTATCGCCGTTCTGTAAGAAAAGCGTGTAACTCAATTTTAAAAAGATGTATTTTGTGTATTCAAAACAATGGGGGACTTTTTGAACATTTATTAAAATAACTTAAAGTGTATGTATTTTTTTAGATATTAGTATTAGTTTAATTTGTTTAATGTATATTTTAAAGAACCTTTTAATAAAATATTCTGTCTTTTTACATGTTATAATTAATAATAGAGTAAGAATACCATGCCAACTAAGTGAAATTAGTCAAAAAAGACAAAAATTGGCTATAACTCGGTAATTTTAAAAAGAAAACATGTTATTGTGTATATCTCTGAAAAGCTTAAAAAATTGCGCTTTTTATGAAGTCATGGCCAACTATGGCTTCCATTTAAAAAAACATATGTTTGTGTCATATGTCAAAAATGACAGGCTTTAGAAAAAAACAGAAAACACAATCTCATTAAGGATGTTATTATCTACAACTTTTATCTGAAACCTTTTTGTCTAAAATAGATTATAATGGAATTAGGGACAATTTTTGAAATAGCCGAAATTTGTTTTTTTCGAAATATCTAGTAACCCATGAACTTTTTCAAAAATCTGAAAGGCGCATCTTTATGACCCCACAAAACTGCAATTCTTTTCCCATTTAGCCGACTTTCTATCTCCAATAGTTTCCGAGATACCCATAGAGAATCGTAGGAAACTCACCCTGTATATGCTACATATTTTTGGAACAATCTTCGGATTGTCAGGGGATTTTTTACAGGGCACTGTGTCCTCAATGAACACCTCAGTAGATTGAAGCTAAGAAACAACGGCGAATGCAGATTCTGTGGGGGAAATGAGGAAACACCAGAACATCTCATCACTGAGTGCGCCGAGACGACAACCATTCGTGCCATGAATTTTGGTACGACTGATATTGGAGATGGAGAACTAACCTCTGTAAAACCGTCTAAGATACTGGTTTTCGTCAAAAAACTGAGACGGCATGATAAGTTATATGTCAAGACAGTGGGACACAATAGATCTGTATATTGTAGCGTTTTTTTATAATAACTACCACTGCGAACGGCAGCTTTTCATCGGAGAGCAGTCGTGGATAAGGTATTTCACTGGAAAGAAAACTAATTAATAACAATAAACAAAAGAAATAGATATTGGGCGCCAGGCACGTACAGAGAAAGAAAACACAGTTGTATATTACTTAAAACTAATAACTATATTTATTCATGATGGACTGTGATGGTAAATAGCATTGTACAATTTTAATAATTATTATAGTGGTTATATGTCAACGAAAGTGGTGTTAAGAGTTGTACTAAATATCTATGAAAATAATACCATTACAAGACGTAATGTAATGAAACCTAAGATCTAAATCATATTTTAAATATTAAATCGACATGAATGTTCTTAACAATCTAACCACTAAACATAGTCTGTACGATATTACTTAAGATGTACATTATTGTTTAAGACTGAAAATGTTTTAGATGTTAAATGTAAAACTAGAACTTAGATCTACACTTAGCTGTTCTTTATGTAAACTTGCTTCAAACAGTAACAGAGTGAGGTGGTCTCGCATCTCTGCACTCGGCCATCCAATACAACAAAAGGGGGCCAGACTGAGGACAACCATGAATTGATACAGCCGTAACTACTGACTAGACTGAGAAATGGGAACGAAGCAGCATGGGGCTTACGCTGTATCCATACTGTAGCAATATGGGGACACTACCCGTACCTTGGAACACTACTAGGACCTTGGATATTGTCCGTAACTTGAACCATAACCTTGGACACAGCCCGCCGATAAGACAACGGTACAGGGGAACACTACCCGTACCTTGGATACTACTAGGACCTTGGATAATGCCCGTACCTTGTAAATAGTCCGTACCTTGGACCCTAAAAATACGAAACTCTTGTTTAAAATCAAACAAGGTCTAACAAACAAAATGAACCTACCTCGAATTACTTCCGAGGGCTCACTAAATAATAAAGAACATATGCTTTCTTCCATGTGACATTGTGGAGGACAAAAGAAAAGGGACGCCAACGTGCCAGCAAAATACAAATATAAGTTAGGTTGGGACATCCAAAACTCTACCCTAAAAATACGCAGTAATAATTTCGAATCTAAAAGGATATATCATTTTTACCTGTAACTTCGAAATAGCAGCTGATTCAAATTATACAGCAAGATTTTTATAATTGCCGTTTCTTGAAGCAAGGATTTTTTGATGGTGACAGTCGGACGGTCAAAGCCAAGTGTAGTTAAGCAACATGCCCTAGACACTCAATGGTAATTTTATAGAACTACAAATTTAGTTTCTTCCGCATCGCCAGACGGCGCAAAAGACATTAAAGTACAGGTTTCTAATTTATATTATGAAGATGACATGACAGTCTCTATGTTAACTACTGTCTATGGTCTAGTTTTTGTCTAGTTGACAAAATGTTGGTGATCCGTCAAGTTATTTTTTAAATCATTATTTAAATAATTATTAATTCAGATATTCCCAGATATTCCTGATTTGTCGGAAAGTTCAGTGATTTGTGTTTATAGTTTGTGTTTTTATTAGTTTGTGCATTCTGATACTTACAGTCGATCATCATTTTCGTGTTAGATACTAAACTTTTTTATTAAAGTCATTTTGACATTTTAGAAATAATAATTTATAAACCAAATAAAAAAATAGTTTAATCATAAATAAGTAAGTACATAGTTGGTAATATATAGTATTTTTAGTAACAGTTGATTAGTAGTCTATAATATTTTTACTATATTATAATTTAGTTGTTAAATCAAAAAAA